TTACGGTAAAAAAACCATATCGTTTGAGGGAGCACAGCTGTTCTATAGATAGACGGCCGTTATAAAAGAATGCGAAAACGTGAACACATTAAAAAATAAGCTTAAGAAATATGTATGTACATGTAACTTCTAATACTCTAGAGCTAAATTGCATTGTATTATTACTTTTAACTTTGTATCTCATTATAAATGGACTGTAAGTTTGTATGAGAAATAAAATTCTTTAAACCGATGATAATATTTGAGACATGCCACATACGGCTGTCGGATTCGAAATTAGGCAGAGTCTTTTTATGTTAATATCCTATCGAGGCTTGCGATTTAGGGATGTGTCGAATGTAATATGATAATTATGATGTGAAACCACACAGTACGCCATATTGCGCCTGAACTATAAGGGATCATAAACCTCTAATTTAGGCGAGGTTACTGGATCTGGCCTGGTCTGAACTGCAAAAACTTGTCCCGTCAACTCGCGGCCACAGTGTAGGCTGTATAACACCATAGAACAATTTCATTTTTATATTTATCAATTCAAAAACGAGAATCAATTTTGTCACTGAAGTGAGTTCAACTCTGTTATCAATTAAAATTTTAAATTGATATTATGCGAAAATTAAACTAAATAATGTAAAAAAAATATTAAAATTAAGGTTTTAATCTATCAATTTATAATAACATAAGAATCCTTGATTACAATATTTTATTTTCGTTTTATCATTTGAATCATATTATACTAATCCTGAAAAGGGTTTCTCTGAAAACCATTAAACAGTCAATTTCATAATATCAGACACAATACAAAATTATCCTAGGCCTGTTGGTCTAGTGGTTAGTGACCCTGACTGCTAAGCCGGAGGTCGTGGGTTCGATTCCCACCCAGGACAAATATTGTGTGATGAGCACGGTCATTTGTTCTGTGTCTGGGTGTAATTTATCTATAATATGTATGTATTTAAAAATATATAAGTATGTTTATCAGCGGTCTGGTTACCATAGTACAGGCTCTGCATAGTTTGGGATCAGACGGCCGTGTGTGAGATGTGTGAGATATATTATATTATTATTATTATTATTATTATCCTACTCAACACTCAAGTACTTAACATGGAAGAGAATTGGACCTGAAATATTACCATCTGGAGGAACGGGTCTCATGTCCCTCCAACACAAAGGGATCCTATAACAAGGCAAGGTGATCATGCCTGGCGGGCAGTGGCCCAACGTTTGATGTTAGGAAGTCGTATCCATGCTGATTGCGAATTACTCATATCGCGATAAAGGATTAGCAGTTACTCTGTAGTTCGGTGTGTCTTCATTAGATGGCGTTGTAGAATGTTTCTTCGTTTCGCCGTATGTCGAAATCGCCACAACCAAGACTAGCAGAATACCGAATTGATTTTCGCTCACAATCCGATATTATTACGATATATATTGAATTCAACGTTAGACGTTTAACTACGAGAACACCTTTTATGAAAGTTGTGAGAACAAGAGTAGATCGGAACAGAATTTTGAATATTACAAGAACAGACGTTCTGTAGTCATCTTACAATTCAAAATTAGTTAAAATGGGAAACTGTTACTCAAATACATCTATACTAATATTATAAAGCTAAAGAGTTTGTTTGTTTGAACGCGCTAATCTCAGGAACTACTAGTCCGATTTGAAAAATTCTTTCAGTGTTAGATAGCCCATTTATCGAGGAAGGCTATAGGCTATATATCATCACGCTAAAATCAATAGGAGCGGAGCACCAATGAAGAATGTTTCAAAAACGGAGAAAATTTATTACTTGAGAGACGCAGACGAAGTTGCGCGAGTCAGCTAGTCTGTAATTAAACATCATTCTAATATTTACAGTCTGTAGTTTGAACGGTGAACTATCTGTTTAATGTTCGCTTGAACTAGACGGTGCTCAGATATTGTCCTAATACTCTGAAGTCTGAAATGTAATCCCGATTGGAAATGTTCCCACATTCCAATAGACTCGCTCTATGATACTCGATTCACCAATCGAACTTCGCAGTGAGTACAAAGTCAACTAATAAAGGTTACTCGTGTTATTTAAAAGCTACCCACAACTACTATGTTTTACCGAAATAAACTGTTTAAATTACATATTATAATAATAATAATAAATCTCTTTATTGTACACCAGGTATAAATATATAAAGATTAACTTTAGCTAGGTTCACATCATCATCATCACATCAACAGCCTTTAATAGTCCACTGCTGGACATAGGCCTCTCCTTAGAAATAAGGTTTTGGCCTACTATACCACGCTGGCCAGACGGGTTGGTATAGGGATTGTATCAAGTTTTCCTTCTTTTTGCAGTGCTGGTGTCCTGCGTTGTTTTGCGCCCTTAGTCGCCTCTTTCGACACCCACGGGATGAATTGGGGTAGTGACATTCCGTATTCTTAATCCGTCACTACCCACAGGTTAGTTTTAGCTAGGTTAGACAGGTACTCCTTTCTAGGGTATACCTGGTTCCCCGGCTATTAGTACCCGGCGACGGCGTGCGGTTTTAGTCGGTTCGAGTCCGACAAGCCACCGACAGGTGGTATCCGAGGGGATTTCCGCACGGAAAAAAAAAAAAAAAAAAAAAAAAAAGGTTAGACAGGTACTTATATATATATATAATATTAAAACACCTAAAGAACGCCAGGTGGACAAAATTTGACTATTTTGCATGTCCTTGACCAGAAAATTTGAGCTTTTATTGGTAAACTTATATACTATAGCAGATCAAAATATATGGCAGATCTAAATAGTAATAGTATTTAATTTTAAGTAAAGCAGATTTGACTGTTTTTAAATATATATATTTTGTTAGGTACGATATGTATAGATTATACAATATTTGCCAAGGAAAGTCCCTACAAATGTGGACAAATACGTCAAATTTAACAAAGCAGAATATAAATGGGTATCTGTGACAGCAAAAATATTTTATAGTAACGAGGTCTAGAGTGCAAGTATGTTACATCCTGAAAGTCCATATGGATCCGTGTGTAGCAGTATTATTATAATAACGAATACAAAATAAAATAATGACCAGACCGAGTGAAAATTGTATAGGTACCTAAAATTTAATAATAATATGACTGCACGGATGGCGTAGTGGTTTAAGCGGTCACCACGCCGCTTCTTACTACGCCGAGTGTTGTGGGTTCAAACCCCACATGGGACGACACTTTGTGTGATCCACAAATTGTTGTTCTGAGTCTGGGTGTTCTTTGTGTCCGTTTCATGTATGTTTGTAAAGTCCCCCGCGACACAGGATTTATTCCTAATGCGGGCGTTGTCTTATTTAAAAAAAAATATATATATATATATAATAATATTTTCACACTTCTCACACACGGCCGCCTGATTCCAAACTAGGCAAAGCCTGTGCTGTGGTAACCAGACTGCTGATAAACATACTTATATATCATAGCAGTAGCACTCAGGGTCACTAACCACTAGATCAAACACCCAGTCAAATTTACAAACCTAATCAATAAATGAATCGAAGGGATATTAATTTATAATTTAGCATTTCTCACTCCAAATTTAAATGTTGGACATAATCATCAACAGCCTATAACAGTCCACTGCTGCACATAGGCCTCTCTTTAGAAAGGAGGTTTAACATATTTGTTGTATGAAATTTATATCGATACCGCTCGTCAAGTTTGGAAGTAAAAAAACATTTTAGACACATAAAATGGCACCAAAAACTGGCTATTTTTTTATTTCATTTAGATAAACCAAGTGTTACTTTCACAATTGAAGAAAATATACATGCTTAATATTAATAACATTGCTTAACATTAATAACACAGGAGAAATATAATATTATTTACTGTGTAAGACAGTTGCATAATAAACAAAGATACAAATGTCGAGCGGAAAGAACAAATGTACGAAGAGTGACAAGTTTGACACCCGTGCGCACGACTATCAAAGCTTAATAACACGGTGACAGTTTTGTTACTGACTTGAAAAACGTCACCCGTTTCTCACGTCATAACATGTCGTGTTAGTGGCGGATATATGTCTACACATAAGCCGTACAAAATTGATAAGTCAAATTATTTATTACGAAAATGCTAGCTTTTGTCCCCGTTAATGTCTATTTTGTCAATCAATTTTGCCGGGATAAAAAATTGTACTGGTCTAGTCTATTTCGGAGTTATAGAGTACCAAAATCCATTCAAAGTTTCTGATAGTAGGATAAAGTATACTGAAACTTATTTACAGTGTGTTTAAATCTATTTTCTTTCTTTAAATCACATATCACTTTCCTATTAATGCCAGTAACATGCGTTGTCTTTACTATTACATAGTATAGGCCGTGTAAAACAGCAGAAGTGTTAGTAGGTTGCAATATACTAATTAATATAGAAGATGTGATGCTGCTGTCTTGCTATGCCTTTTTCTCAAATTAAATCCTCCAACTAAGCTAAATACCAGATAAGGTTTCAATATGATACCTAAATTGACTAACAAAATCGATAGTAACACAAACGAAACAAAAGGATTGTTGTTCGTAAACTGTAAACACTCAGGGTATCTGTTAGGTATATTGGTAATGATTGTTTAAAAAAAAAAAAGCATACTACACGTTTATATGAAGCATCGAGCAAAGAATAGCTTTAGAGATATTAAAATACAGAGATTATAGGACTAATAATAATCTGTTGACAGCATAATTAACGTATGTCGTTACTTTATTAACATTTGAAATAAACCCTTTAAGCTGTTTGATCTCAAACAACTTTGTTAATCATTTTAATTTGGGTGAAACCTGAAATTACAGTACGTGAGTAATTTGAAAGGTAGAACTATACTCATTTAGCACACACGGAAGTTTAAAGTTTTACTGGATTATTGTTAATTCAAATTTTGTTTGTTAATATTAGTTTTATTGTTTCAGATTTCCCGATGAATGAGTCAAGAGAATCTAAACGAGGACATAAGTGATGAAGTTTGAGAATACCTATAAAAATGGATACTTTAGAAAGTTCAAGAAATAACAAATCAAAATGGAGGTTAAACCTCCAAATATTGTACATACTTCTTCTAGCGACACACTGTCAAGGAAGCTCCAGTCATACTGATAAAACCAAAACAGAAGTAAAATTAGATAATAAATTAGATTCTATTCACTGCCATAGCTGTTATAGTAGTAGGAACAATGAATCTTCTGTAGAAAATTATTTTAAAGATATTGTAGATACATTAAGTACATATGCTGATGAAAATTTCAATTTAAATTCAACTGTTACATATTTAGAAAGAGCTGTTGAAAATATATTAGATAACGCTCTATCTAAAAATAGATTTAAGATTTCCGATGAAGTTGAAATCAAGGTGGATCAAATTAATGACACTAAACTTGAGAAAAGGCATGAACAAGGAAGAGAATTATTTAGTAAATTCACATATGAATATCGATTGTATCAAAAAGTAAAGGATTTCATTAATACTCATATTCTATCAATAAACCTACCGATGGCTGCTAAATGTAAGTAGATTTATTATTAATAAATAGTAATAGTATTTTATTTTAAGTGAGGCAGTTTTGAAAATATTACATAAAAACTGAGGACTGTGGCCCTGGTCGGAGCGAAATTCCTTTCGTTTTTTGGTAGGCGTTTGCTATATATATAAGATATAGGAAAAGATGTGAGCGTCGACGCGCCGACTGAAGTGTCGGAAAAAAGTCTTGTGTCACATTTTTCGGTCTTGCTTCCATCCGCTCAGACCGTGTAAAGCGCGGTCAGAAGCTTCGTTCCAAAGTAAAGTAAAAAAAGGCTTCATCTAATTTATAAAAATCTCGTGTCACGGTGTGCGTGGATGAACTCCTCCGAAACTGCTCGACCAATTTTAGTGAAATTTTGTGCATATCGGGTAGGTCTGAGAATCGGCCAATATCTATTTTTCATACCCCTAATATATATATTTTTTGACAAAAATGGCAAAACTGGCAAAACTACGTTTGCCGGGTCAGCTAGTAAACTTGTAAACGATCGTTTTCTAAATTTATAATTATGAGACTGAACGCGCTCACGATAGGTGTATTAAGTACATATCTTTGAAATGCCTAACGTTTCGACCAGAAAATTGGCCGTGGTCTCTCTGAAGCAGTATTTTCAATAACAATAATATTCCGTAAATTATTTGAGCTTGCTTCAAATAAAAATAAAATTTATTTTCAATTACGGTAGCCCCTAAGACCTCACGTAGCCACTAAGCAGACATTCGACACCCGAACTTTTAATATGTGCTCCTAAAATTCATACCTTAATATTTTCTGTTTCCAGCGTTCGGTATCAACAAATTCTTTTTACCAATTTTGATCGGAGGGCAGGTGCTTATAAAATCGATCCTCTTTGCAATGTTCCTGCCCAGTATTCTCGGCAGTTTCGGCAAAATGCTCAGCAAAGGTAAGTTATTGTAAACTTTCTATAAAACATTATAACTTAGAACAACATTATAGCTTTACTTTGATGAACTTGTGATTTTGCGGATGACGAAGTGTATTCAAGTTTAAATGGCTTTTAAATATTCTGGTGAAAAAGTTTGATGTCAAATGTAAATTTAGTGACTAAATTGTTATGTAAATTGTTTATAAGTTAATGGGGTAATGTATGAATATTATTCTTTAGCCTAAAAGATCAATTGTGAACAGAATATTAATCTGTGGTTTTAAATATAAATGGACCAGTTCCTTTTTTGATTGGTCTCTTGTTTTTTTAAAGGTGAGATTTATATTCAGTTCTAATTGTATACTTATCTTTTGGAGACCAAACAATAAACAATACTGAATAATATTTTTTTATGACATATGAGATGCAAACCTGAAAATATTCTGAAACTTAGTCATTTAGTTTTTTAGTTTAGAATAAATAATTATAATAGTAGGCCAAAACCTCCTTTCTAAGGAGAGGCCTATGTCCAGCAGTGGACTAGTATTGGCTGTTGATGTGATGATGATGTGATGATGAAATAATTATATTAGCATATACAGTGTGTAGGTAAAATTATATGTATAGGTTTATTTCACTATCACCTCACAAATCCTTGTAAGAGTTTCCTCGTGAATAATACATCGACGCGGATAAAAGTAATGTGAAATGCTTAAAAGATGACTTGTTAGCATTACTCATCACTTAACCAACAGGTCAAAGCGAACTGGAATTCTTTATTTACAATAGAGAGATCTACTTGAATCGTCAATTGCCAGGATATTTAAAATCGGTTCGGTCTCCTGGCCTTGCAAATAAATGTAGTTTCATTATCTATTCACTATCGGTTGTATTATGAGGATTATGTATTATGAGGAAGCAGATTTCCTCCTCAATTTTGTCGATATTTTCATCGCCATCATTTCGGTAATATGACCTCCATGGTTGTGCGCTTTTCACGAAACTCTTTGTCTGGCTTTTTTTTGTCTGCTGCCCGCGTATATGGTGGTTATCTCGGTAAGAGTAGCCTATGTCTTTTCTCAAGAATTAAAGTATTTCCATACCAAAATCGATTACGGGTACGGAAATTTTATTTAAATCGATTTAGCGTTTATTGATTCCCCATACAAGCTTCCATCCCCTTTAAAGGATGATTTCTAAGATAAAAACTACCCTATGGCCTTTTCCGGGACTCGAACAATTACTATACAAAATTTCATCTAAATCGGTCTAGCGCTTTAAGCGTGAATAGGTAACAGACAGACAGACGGACAGACACAATTTCACATTTATAATATTAGTATGGATTTTCGTGATATTTCCGGACCGATATGACCTTCAAGCCTACAATCACTGACCATCAGTTTACCAGCCTACGCGTTTGCATCCTAAAACTAAGGAAAGACTTTGAAAAATATTGTTTTCTTATTGTTTGAAAATGTTTCACTAAATTGAATTAGACTGTAAACAACATCCAATAAGGTACATTTTATTTTAAAATTGCACGTAAGAAATTATTTGTGAGGTAACTTGATATTAAAAGAGAGAGCCGTTTTTTTATATAAATGTAGCGCATTTCCTTACAAAATATCTCTGTCTTATCTTCTAATAGAAACTACAAAGGTTGTGTAGCACCCACACTTTTCTTTCTTTCTTTTCTTTTTATAAAGACAACTGTCGAGTTATTGCAAGTTCAGAAAGGAAACGTTGCTTGTTATTTCTGAACAAAGTAAAAACTGCTTGGAACTTGAACTGTTTTATATTCTCATATTAAATTTAAAGTATTATTTAAGCAAATTTCCGCCATCGTTCCACACGGCAAAATTTTCATCCTCATTACCTGGATAGTTGGCGCTCCACTACTGTGCGCTTTTCGAGACACTTTTTGCCCCGCACAACCAATCTGTGGAACGGGTTATTGTCTGCAGTATTTCCAGACCGATACGACCGTCAAACCTTCAAGAAAAGAGCGTACTCCTTCCTAAAAGACCGGCAACGCGTTTGTGACTCCTGAGTTGCAGACGTTTATGGGCGGCGATGGTCACTTTCCATCAGGTGACACGTCTGCTCGTCTGCCCCCTCTGACATAAAAAAAAAATTCTCTTTCTAATATTAATCAAACCAACTATATCAGTCCGTGAATATTGTTTTATAGATCAGAAACTATTAAGGGTATTATTTAATGTTTTCAGTTTTTTTGTGCAATCCCTGTAAGTACTGATATAAAACAGTTTGAAACTAGTTCAGGGGTCCAAGAATTCACAATTACGTAATACTATGTAAATAAACGATGTTTATTTTTTATATACATAAAAGAACATTCTAGCAGTCACAAATAACACAACCACAAAATCAAAATATTTAAATTGCCGCTTCAAACCCAAATACTTATTTACAAAAAAGAACTAGGGCGGACACTATCAAAGAAAAAGTAAAACAATTGTATACAAAGGTGACAAACAAGCCTCAATGGACTATTCTAGCCTATCTACGCTATATTTCAGTAATAAGTATAGAAAAAAAACCACTTTGTGTGTTACAATACCCACTAACCATATTATTTATGATTTTATACTTGTTATGCTCGTCTAAGATAAACGTGAAAACAAGTCGACCTACATAATCACATAAATATCTTATATATAAAATTCTCGTGTCACAATGTTCGTTCCCGTACTCCTCCGAAACGGCTTGACTGATTCTCATGAAATTTTGTGTGCACATCGGGTAGGTCTGAGAATCGGCCAACATCTATTTTTCATACCCCTAAATGGTAAGGGTGACCCATCCCTAATTTTTTTTTGTTTTGCAATACAACGTTTGCCGGGTCAGCTAGTAATAATATAATATATTCACACATCACACACACGGCCGTCTGATCACAAACTAGGCAGAGCCTTCACTACGGCAACCAGACTGCTGATAAACATATTTATATATTTCTAAATATATATATATCATAGATAAATTATACCCAGACACCGAAACATCATCGTGCTCATCACACAATTATTTGACCTGGGTGGAAATCGCTTTACAGTCAGGGTCACTAACCACTAGACCAACAGGCCATAGGAAAAAAGCTTCTTCCATGGTTCAAATTGAATATTATATTAACTGACTCCTAATTTGTAAAATTCATTCATTTGAAACACAGGTTTACCTTAGTTCAGGCAGGCAGCGACTAAAGTTTTTAAACAAAATCGTAATATCTTTATGAAATCTAATCATAAAATAACACTACTATAGATTTACGCTAGTGTAACTTAGTCTAATTATTGTCTAAGATCTATGTTAAACTGAAATGTCCTACACTGTAATATTTATATTGGTCAAAATAAATAAATTATTATTATTATTATTGGGATTTTAATATTTAAACTAAAAAATGTGTAGAGGCTTATACAGACATGTATATGCCTCTACACATGAGCTACTATGGCATGAGCATGGCTACTTATGAGCTCACTAAAAGTAAAAAAAAAAATTAAGTTAAATAAATCTCATCTAATTCTTTTTATTTCATAATTTATTAACTTATTCTCCTCTTTTCTATCTACATCATCTTTTTCTTTTAAATCATATAAAAAGAATGTAAATATCTGATTTTCTAACTCTGTTTAAAAACTAGAACTCAAATAAATCTTTATTTGAGTTCTAAATAAATTTATTAAAAGTAAAATGTTGTCACTGAAAATGCCTCTGCCAATATAGGCGTAAGTGTAAATATATTCTAAATAAGATATTTTTGGTACTTCTAGGTTTGTCCCACATATCAGCTTCATCATCTCAAGCCAGCTACCCTCCGGCCACTGTAGATGATCAGACCGGGTACAATACGGACAACAAAGATTTCATGGGATACGAGACCAATCAAGCAGGGTCTTATGCATACCCTCAGGATGGCATGTACGGAGACGCGAATGATGTGAACGAACTCGGAAATGTCGATATGTCAAGGTATTATGATTATGTAAAATATTTACAGCTAACTGTATTTTTTTACCTGACACGAAATGCTCTTTAATAGAAGATTAGAATAAAAACATTCAAATCTTCAAGAAGAGATCATTCTGCTCTCAGATAGTCACGTTCCATCATGGGACCCGTCGATTCCTTTTCTTTCTGTATCATAAAAAAGCATTAAACTTGGATTTATAAATAAATATGGGGCCTACAATTACCGCGACAATAAATTATTATAGAGAATCAATGGTATTTAGGAATCCTAATTATACTGTGACGCAATTAAACTTACACCACTGTCACTGTCACTGTGTGTGTGTGTGTTTCAATTCTGTGCTCAAGATGATATCCCATGATATCCCCGAGAAAACTAAAGGAACTGTCTTCAACTCCCTACCACAGAAGATAGCATTTTATAAATATTCCATAATCCATAAACCAGAACACATTATCAGTTGCTTCAGTGTGACAAATTTTGAATTAAGTGAGAACATTTAAATATCTTAATATCAATTTTACAGTTTTTGGGATTTTCTCCTAAATTGAAGAGTCATCCAATCAATGTTTCTCGAAGATTCTAATAGTGGTGATATATTAGGCTATGAGAGCCGCCAGTCAGTCTTTCCCCTTTTTGCATACTAAACTATATGGATGACTTAGCAAAATTATCTAGATCAGTATTAAATCGATAGCTTAAAGTGAAAGTAGCGGGTTCATGTTAGCCATAACATACATAACGTGTATGTTATTTACTCGTATAATATTTATTTACATATTTGAGACCATTATTTTCGATATACGATGACGATACGACGGCGATGATACAGAGAACCTACACCGATTTTCAACACTAGAAAACCAAAAACCCATACAGACTCAATCCAAAACACTAACACACACACATACACACACACACACACATACACACACACACAAACACACACACACACACACACACACACACAGAGAGACATCCCAATCTATTTTGTGAGTGTGAAATATTTCAATTAAAAATGAACTAAAATTGTAACAACAAGTCGCTAATATAGTATTTTACTTCTTTTGTATATGTTTATGCGAGAGACCTGGTTACCCATACCACAAGTTTAATCTTACCTTGGGTACCAGAGTTCCATGAAATAATGTGTTGTTTCTTCACCTTGATTCTAAAATATTATGGTAAATAAATTATTATTATTATTATACTTAACCTACAAATTACATGTATACCTACCTAAGCAAAAAACCTTAATGATGAATAAAATTATGTAAACAACATTTGTTTTTAATATTTCTTATAATAATCTGTTTGATGTAAAATACAAGTAAAGTAAAGGAGTTTGAGCTTAATTCGAATATAACTCTCGGCTGTATTGTAGAGAAATTTTTCAAGAATTCCTTTTTGATTTTCCTCCCTAATAAGTTTGAAGATATTTACGATAAGGTCATTCCCGTCTCAGATTTTCTTTACTTGTTTTGATAAAATAACAAAGTTGAAAGCAAAAATAATGACGAAAATGTTTGTTTGTGGTATACCTACCTGAAGAATTATGTCCATATAATTCATTTTTCTATTTTAATGATAAATTTTAAATAATTTCACGTGTTACAGGTTCGGTGAAGGACAAAAAGTTGGTTTTCTACCGTCAAAGAACAGTTACTATAAAAATCAGATGGGCGCATACAACTACAAGGTAAGAGCACGTTACGAACAACATACATGGGTCAGAAGCTTAAGATATAGTATCAATGGAAGCTCAATTTTGATAGTTAAATGCTCGGTACACCTGTGAAACCTCATAAAAAGGAGATCGGGTGGGGGGAGATAAATATTGTTTCTTAAACTCAATAAGAATTATAAGTAAAGTACATGAAGTTCGTTTGTCCAATGTTAAAATGGAATTTCTTGTGGTTCAATTTGTTAAATATACAGCTGTGATTTAAAAAAAAAGAAACTTTTCACTCTTGACAGGTCTCAAAAAATGTTTTATATTACTTAAATTCCGCACCATATTTTAAAATTCCTACAAATTATTTCAATAAATTCTGAGTGGTAGGATCCATAAATACAGGATTTATTGAAATAATTTTTACAATAAAGAGAAATATATTACTATGCAATTTATATGCATTTATAATATTAATATGCAATTAAAATAAGCATAAAAAAATAGTCCGCATCGTCGCCTACTGGTAGCGTTCCCAGAAGACTGTCAGCATTGGCACGTTGAATGGCAATGCTAATTCTCTGTGTTAGAAAAGATTCGGCCTTCTGATCACGAGAAGTGTCGATTGGTTGCTTAGCTAGTTGTTTATACATAATACGAGCACTCGGACCCCATGACCGTACATAGCGTTTCGACCCCAAACAGTGCAAAATTGTAATGTAATTTAATTTAATTAATTTTGTACAATTACGTTTATACTACACTTAACTAAACCTACATCCTGATTTTAACTATCTTCATTGTACTATTTATATCAGGTCCAATTTTGAAGATAATTCATTAAAGGATACGCCCTTAATGGTATATGTTCATAATTCGACTAGATGACACTGCGATAATGTTAAAGGAATATTTTCTGTATGGTTGGACACAACAAGGTCAACTTGGTCTGCTAAAAATTAAAATTTTAAATACAGAATTTAATAATCGCACTATGCACACTCATTGCTAATAATAAAAAAAGCACTAATACTGTGAACCAACGAAGAGCAACTCGAATCGTCGATAGCCCAATCTCCGATCGGCTCGATCCCTTGGTGTTACGTAGAGATGTGGCTTCACTCTGCATTCTCTATCGCATATATCATGGAGAGTGCTCCCAGGAATAGTTCGGACTAATACCAGCCGCAACTTTTCGCCATCGGTTCCACACGGCAAAATTTTCATCCTCATCACCTGGATAGTTAGCGCTCCAGTACTGTGCGCTTTTCGAGACACTTTTTGCCCCGCACAACCAATCTATGGAACGGGTTATCGTTGGCGGTATTTCCGAACCGATACGATTTTCAAACCTTCAAGAAAAGAGCGTACTCCTTCCTAATAGCCGGCAACGCGTTTGTGACTCCTGAGTTGCAGACGTTCATGGGCGGCGATGGTCACTTTCCAACAGATGACCCGTCTGCTTGTCTGCCCCCTCTAACATACCATTTTAAAAAAACCACGCATTGTCAATATTATTTCTATCTTCTTCAAGTAAACTAAATAATTGTTTTAAGACTGGGATCATGTCAGTAATATACTAAATGAGGTTCATTCGTTCGTTCCTGTAGCATCTTAATCGCAAGACAACAGTCATATAAAAAGATAAAATTGGACAAAGTGTAGTTTGTTAACTGTTTATTTAATCTACAGGTATTCCAGAAAATTCCAGCTTCATCAATGATTCTTAGTAACTATGATCCCTTCTATTCGCCGTTGCTGTCGAGACTGGATGGTATATTTGCAAGACTTGGTAAGCTATTTTCAACTAAAATTTGCTCCCTAGCTTTAGCTGCTATAATTATAAAATATATTAAATTTTGTTCTCATTGTTTCAAATGGTTCTGGTATAGTTTTAAATAAACAGTTTAAGAATAGGAGATAAAAAAATGTGACTCCTTGTCTATACAAATAAATAAAATTGAAGTGTCTGTTTGTAATGTCAAAATTGTAGGATTTTTTCATGCTCACACCTATGCCTAAAAACTAGTTTTTTTATCTGTCTGTCTGTCTGTTTGTTCCTGGTAATCTTCTAAACGGCTGGACCAATTTCGATTATATTTTACTACCAGGTAGCTGTTTACATAAGGAATAACTTAGGCTATTTTTCCTCTCAGAATAACCTTTTTAAATTTTGCCCGGCCCGGGCATCGAACAAACTAAGGCAGCGCTTTTCAAATTCCACGCGAACGAAGTCGGGGTTACCAGCTAGTTTTCGCATAAATTACAATAAATTAACCTAAATTGTTCCCGTTTTTCAATTAAAAATTATTTGTATTTGTCGTCTTGATAAAGTTTTTGTGTTTAAATTCCAGGTTTAGAGCCATCAGATAACTCAATCAACGATAACATAGAGGCTTGCAGGGAGCAGCTCATCTGTCTTATGTACGCAAATCCAGCAAAATTTGCACCGTACAGTAACCTGATTTCTGCACAATTAAGCAGGTACTTTGCATAGTTACTGTATTCCTTTAGATAATCCCAACAAAAGCTTTTGGTGTAACATCATTTGCGTGCTGATTGGAAACGTTGATTTGCTTTTATAAAATGTAATAAGTGTTGGTAAAGCTGCGTAAATGAGGGCCGACCGACTTTCTATCTAAAATCTTTGACCAGATCTTTACAACAATTATACTCTAGAAAAGAAATAACATCAAAACACAAAATGACTTTCACATAAACAGTATGAACGAATAGAGGTGGATTGTTTTTCACGTCACATCACATCAACAGCCTTTAATAGTCCACTGCTGGACATAAGCCTCTCCTTAGAAAGGAGGTTTTGGCCTACTATACCACGCTGGCCAGACGGGTTGGTATAATATCTATAGGCACCTTATGGGGTTAGCACCTTTCTGTAGCGCCTCCACAATGTTTGTAGAGGCAAGACTGAACACGTTTAATGCCATCCAAAGAAGCTGTATCGCGGCGTTTATGGCCCGGGTTGGTTCGTGTAGGAACACTATAATTAAGGAACTTGCTGACAGGATATGTAACAGTTCCATGTTTAAAAAATGGTTACAGATAGCTACATAAATAATTGTAACTAAAATAAAGAAATATCATAAACAACATTATATGGAAACTATTCTGAAATAAAGATTTATTATTATTATTATTATAGGGTTTGTGTCAAGTTTTTCTTTTCTCTGCAGTAATGTTGTTCTGCGTAGTTTTCTCCCTTAGTCGCCTCTTACGACACCCACGAGATGAATATGGGTGGTGACATTCTGTATTCTTAATCCGTCACCACACGGACGACATGTATTTATCATAATATTATTTATATTTATATAATGTTTTTTTCAGAGAGCTAAATGAACTTCGACGTCCAGTGTCTGACAACCCCGAAATATTAAGGTTCTTTAAATACATGAAGGCGGCGAGAAGAGGCCAAGAACAGTCCGACTGCATGTACTCCTACCCTACATGTACTTCCAATGCTCCGAAGACTCACACCATGATAGCAGCATACCACGACATTAATAAACTCGTTACTGCCAGAAAACTCAACTAAATGTACCAGCTTAATTTATTTTCTAGCCTTTTAAATATCGGCTTCCATCAAAGCTTTAGCTCAATCTAATTAAGTTTAATGTAATCACGTTTACTGATGAATAAGATTAAAATGTACCCTTCTTACATTGGGTTAAGAAAGCAATTACAGAATTCCTAATATGGGAAAGTTTTTATGGATATTATTGAAACGATTAAGTTCCCTAACAGGTTCAAGGACTGATGATAAACTGTTACCAATTTATACACAAAATCCTTATACAAATGTAGGATTTCCTTAAAACTTTGACGAGACTACTCATGCGTCGAAACACGTGGGTAGTCTTGAAACTCAAAATTTAAACTTGAAAGTTGTAACTTAAACTTAAAACTCGAAACTTTTAAGTTCGAAATTAGTTGAAACTAAACTTGAAGGTCTTTAAATATGAAGATAATTATTGTATTGGTAACATTTTCTGTAGACTATATTCTAATGGCTTAATGATAATTTAATTTCGAGTCTCTAAAATATCCATAGTTCTCTGGCTCAGTGTAAATTTACTTTTAGTAATACTTAATTTATTCAAACGCGTGAATGTATTTATTGTAAGTCTGAGATCGAGTGATTGTGTAACTTATTAAAAGAAATCATTAGATGAAGAAAGGATTAGGTTAATATTTTAATTTATTGTTTTTAATCTATTGTTGTTATTTGTTTTGTTTTTACTTTTTTACTTCAGCTGTGTAAAAAGATAGATAGATTTTCTTCAAATTTCTATTTAAATAAAAAAGATACAATCATGTATATAGGTTAGCCACCGTACGTCTTCTGTTCAAAAAATGAATAAAAATGGCACCATGTATTATGTCATTACGAATAGTCAATTTATATTGTTATTTGTGTAATTTTCTTACATTAATTTTGTTATTTATTTATAAACTAATAGCAAATATAAACCTTATGTATACTGCTTGAAGTCAAAACATCTTTTTTTTTTTTTTTTTTTTAATAATTAAATATGTGTGCTATCGTCGTTCAAATGAAAATAGGTCTCGGGCAAAATTGAAATTTGCAAAATGGCTGCCCTGTTAGGCGACGGTATGCTCATATTACAGTAAATAATTTATTTTAAACTATTATATATAATCTGTCACTGTGTGATTTAAATTGTAAATGAATACTGATTTTATTAACGAAATATACAATATTGTATCAAGACGTATTTCTAAAATTGTATAAACAAATAAATATTCTGTTTCATTAAAATATTGATTAATTAATTCACTAATACATTGTATTACAGGATATAGCAGTGTTAAGGGCATGTCTTTAACACTACTATCAGTGCGCAACAATCAATATTTTGCAAAAAAAAAGTAAATAAAAATGACAAAAAACCTCAGATTTCCAATTGGCCAAAAAGCTCTTCATAATTATATTAATAACTAGCTGAGACCCGCGGTGTTACCCGCGTTTGTTGTTATAACCGCGGGCAACGCCGCGGGGCGAAGCTAGTCTAAAAAAAGTGGCCTAAGTTACTCCTTATGTCATCAGCTATCTGCCAGTGAAAGTTCCGTCGAAATCGGTCCAGCCGTTCCAGAGATTACCCGGAACAAACAGACAGACAGACAGACGGACAAAAATTGTAAAAAATGTTATTTTGGCATATGTACCGTGTAAACATACATATGCATTAAGTAAAAAGCGGTTATTTTAATATTACAAACAGACACTCCAATTTTATTTATTTGTATAGAAAAGAAAAAAGAAAATAAAAGAAGAAAAGAAGATAACTTATTTTGATGTAATACATTGAATATTTTTACATCTTTAATACGTCCTAATGTGTAACATATTAAAATATAATACTGAGCATAAATAAATTTAATATATACCCCTCTAGAGACAGGTATAAATTTTTATAAAAAGTTTTTAAAAGATAACAGATCCCACGCGCAGTTATTTATTCTCGAACAAGAACGTCACTTTTTGAAAAACATACATTAGTAACTTTGACACTGTTCTTGAGACTTCATATTTGGTTATTTTTCAGAAGTTTTTTAACGTGTATTTACAAACTGCGACAGGTGATTTTAATAAGGAACCATTTTTTAAATTGTTCTCATGACTTGTTCCCTTTTTGACTGCATAGATGGCGTAGAAGTAAGCGGCGAGGTGACCGCTTACTACTACGCTGAGTGTTGTGGGTCCGATCCCACATGGAATGACACTTTGTGTGATCCACAAATTGTTGTTCTGAGTCTGGGTGTTCTCTGTGTTTCGTATGTTTTTGTAAAGTTCCCCGCGACACAGTATATATTTCTAATGCGGGAGTTGTCTTATTTAAAAAAAAAGGAAAAAAGACTCAGGCCTGTTTTGAGCACTATCCGCCAATTAACAGTAAAACTGATGGCTTTTATACAAGATTCAAACAAAATATAACTCTATCTCCAATGAATAAAGTCGAACCTTGATTGTGCTCTAATGTGTCACGTCAAATGATGTGCTATGATCGATGGCTTAATATAACATCCTCGATGGCTTAATATACCTCCTCTTGAACTCAAGCAGGTCCATAAGCAGAGGAATTAACTTACCACCAGAATACCTGTCTGCCAGTTATCGGCTATTTGGCAAGTGCAGACTTTTGTATAAACGAAGTCTTCTTCGTCTTTAACGTCCTATGTCCCCTGGATGGGGCAGAGAGCATCCTCAGCAAGTCTCTATCTTGATCGGCTCTGAGCCTCGTGCTTCATTTCGCTCCACATCCTGCCGATGTTCCTCACCTCATCTGCCAAGTTTGCCTTAGACGACCACGCTTGCGATTTCCCTGGGGTTTCCAGTTCAGCGCTTGCTTGGAGATGTAATCGGAGTCCCTACGGATAGTATGGCAAATCAAAAGTACGTACAAACTAAGCGAGTCTGCTAATACAAGCAAATACATAGTGATATTGTGCAGGTTTACGTAAGTACAGGAAATGTGTTTATTTTTATGTTTTTTTTTTACGTTTTGTTAATAAAGTCATAGGATCTATATTAAAGTCGGACCTTATTGTATTTATAAACGTTTATTGTCATAATAACCACGATAATGTAAGTTGAAAATAAATTGTTGTTGATAAGGAAATTCCTTTTATTTTGTACTCGGTTTTAATATTATATTCTTAATGAACAAGCAAAGAATCAGGAAATACAAATATCTTTAACTTTAAAACTCTAAAAAACTTTATATGTCCGTGTGGTGACGGATTAAGAATACGGAATGTCACTACCCCAATTCATCCCGTGGGTGTAGTAAGAGCCGACTAAGGGCGCAAAACAACGCAGGACACCAGCACTGCAAAAAAGAGAAAAACTTGACACAAAACCTATCCCGTCTGGCCAGCGTGGTATAGTAGACCAAAACCTCCTTTCTAAGGAGAGGCCTATATCCAGCAGTGGGCTATTACTTATAGGCTGTTGATGATGATATTTTTTTTAGTTTTTTATCTATCTTAAGTTGTTCCTAAGTTATTTTTTATGTTTTACTAATAATAAGGCTATACTTTTACAACAAAAAGAAAACTAGATACGTTATTGTCTGGATAGTGACTAGAACAACTAAGTTAACTACTACTACATTTCAATTCACATTAGAAAAACATAATAAATTAAATACAAAACAAATACGTGTATAACTCCTAATATAAAAATGAAAATAAATCTGTTTTCATTTCAAATAATTTCTGTTCTCGGTATAAAATATCATGAATATTGAAATCTGGATGACGATGTAAACAAATCTATAAATTTCAATAAGATCTGCCTAAGCGAACAACCTTTGACAAATATGTATGTACACAGGTTGAACTAATATTTATTCAGCATATCAACTGTGTTTGGGTCTTTGTTGATTTAATCAATTACTTCAAAAGTATCCGATATGTAATGTTTGATTCTAATAATAGGTTTATATCTTGATAATAATTATTGTTATTTGCTAAGAAGGGAAATGGATTTACTGTATTTCCAACTCTTCCAATTTTCTTCTGGTTGATTTTTGTTGCGGATTCCAAGACAGTTTAATTTCTTCATGCGACTTCCCGAGTGTCATAACTCGGTGTGTTCGTGGGTCACTGCTGTGGATCCTGGTGTACAGGAGTTTCAATGGTGGGCGTGTGGGTGGGATTAGTCTCATAAAAAAAGTGTTATTTGTATCTATATATATATCATCATAATTTACAATATTTCTAACTAAAGATGATTTTGGTAACTTTACTTTAAAATGATTATCAGCCTATCGCTTTCCACTGCTGTCCGCATCCAGTGACTTTTTTTATTAAATACTTTATGCACAAAAAAATGTACAAAGGTGGAATTAATACCGTAGGCATTCTCATTCTCAGAAAAAAAAAGTGATAAATATTATTACCACTTTCTTACAAACATACATATACCTACACATATACATTCGTACAAACATATACATATGTACATACATATACATACATACATTTACATTAGGTATTAATCCAGTACAACAGCACTGCAAAGAAATGGAAAACTTGAAACAGACTATACCAACCCGTCTGGCCAGCGTGGTATAGTAGGCCAAAACCACCTTTCTAAGTAAAGGCCTATGTCCAGCAGTGGACTATTATAGGCTGTTGATAATAATGATGATGAATCCAATGATTTAACAACTAGTATCGAATTACTCTCGAGTCCGTTGTATAAACTATCCCATTAGTGTGCACTGTCTTCTCAGTATGAAGGGTGATTCGCCAAAACGTTACTATAACGCAGGCTCTGCCCAGTTTGGGATTAGACTGTCGTGTGTGAGATGTGTGAAGTTATTTTAATTAACAGTGTGTTTGATCTGATCTGCTATTCTCTACTCTTATTGCAAGGAAAACACTTGCTACATATTTTACTTAAAAGTACAAAAAAATATTCGGTGGTGTCTAGTTTCGCTAGAACCCAGATGTTTGTTATTTAGTAGTATTAAAGCTTCCGTGTGGTGACGGAGAGTGTGTCACCAC